TGACATTTCTGATGTTGATAACCCTGTCAGAGTAATTCAATCAGTCTTATCGACGACTCTGCTCAATAATCTAAACAACGATATAAACACATTTCCGATTATATCGTTTATTCGGTGGATTGTGTATCTCGACGGATTTTCGTGCCTTTTGATAAAAGCCAAAACGTCGTACGTATAAACTTTGTGCATAAAATTCTCTTGTTTTTCCTTCTGCATTAATTATTTATTGACAACGATTAAAGTCCGGGTGTTTCGATAAAATTGTCTTTATAGGCCTCCGATATTTCGTTAGGGTTATCGTCTCTGACGATACGTTCTCTGATTGCGCAAATATATAATACAGTCACTTTTGTAATGTAGAAAAGCAATGAATGGTAAAAATCTTCGATATTTTTGTTACGAAAATATGTTTCTAAATTGAGCGAAGAAACTGCGGTTAACGTTCGTTGTGTTCCTTCCCCTTCTCTCGTCGGTTATATACATAGCAGAAAACGTGCTGAAAAGATACCCAATAATTCTAACATATATTTTTAAGTACCTTTCTCTTTTTTTCTTTCTTTCTCCCTCTCTTCGCTGGAAAAAAAATGCGTACGTCCACATGCGCATTTCGAGCTTGTGTGTATGATTTTGTACATATGCGCGCCTTTAAAATCGAGAAATTTTAAATTTTTAATCTATTGTCCCAAATTGTAAGAATTAATTTAAAAGCCTTCTGGTATTTTCTTCTAAAAGTTAAAAAAATGTTTTCACATGTTTTTACATTATATTTTATTTTAAAATCATGAGGAGGAATGTTGTACAAAAATTTCCTAATTTTTTCACATTTTCTCGAATTCATTGTTGACTTGAAAAATTGCAAATTTTTCACGAAAAATAAAACAAAAAGTTTTTTTGCACAAAAAATATATCGCTTTAACACGCAATACCTGGTTATCGCGAAACATTTGTGCGAATGTGTACTATAAAACTTTTGAAACATTTTATATGCAATGACCTAGTACTTTAGATAACAGCTTCGCCAAGTTACTTAGCCTTGTAGTTGAGTGCGTCGTATCTAATGCGACAAGAATAGGTTTTATAATTGTATATAATCGAAGTGAAGTAAGTGGAGACAGATAGAATTCAGTGAACGTTTCAAACGTCGCGTGAAACAGGATCGTCGCGATGTTACATAATATGCACGTTGCTGTTACAATCGTTACTTCTATGTGCGGTGCACAGTAATACAATACGTGACATACAGCGACCAATGGTCGATGCAGCTAATAACAACGTCAAACTGAAGCGTCTACATTTATTAACTACGTCAACGCATGATTTAATTTTTTACATAACTTTTTTACGTTCGCAAATGAGAAAAGAGATAGTAGAAAAAAATGGCAAAGCATGCGTCACGTATCACACGTGAGAAATCTTGAAGATATTCCTAATCAATTAAAATAAAACACTGAGAATATTAAATTATCTACTAATTTACAATTTCCTCATCGATGTAATAGGATGCTTAAATGAATTCGATCTTTGAATTATTCCAACTTACAATGGGCTTATCTTCAGTAATAAACAATTGAGAGAAATTGAGGAAAAAAAATAGAAGGTAGAAAGAAAAAGAACGGTTCTCTTAAAAGATTGTTTATATTCTAGAACCTAGGAAAAAAAGAAAATATAAGCAACAATGTGAAGAAAAAACACAAATATAATGAAAAAATATAATATAAAACATTATTTGATTAAACAAAATTTTAAGTCATCTGATTGATTGATAATTGATTGATGAGCAGTTTTTGATAATAAATAATTTATGGTTTTTAATTAATAATTCATTATTTATTTTTCTGAAATTTTTCGCTTTTCCACATAAAACACATAATTAAAATACATAAATAATAAAAATATAAATTAGAAGTAAAAGGTGCTACATTATATCTACGATTTATGCAAGAAGAAAAAAGTAAAGGTACTTTATTTAAGAAAAATTCCTGAATCTTGGAAATGTTTCCGTAAACTAAAATTTCTTCTAAAACATGAAGAGAGAAAAGTGCAATAATGTTACAATGTGACAAACCGAGAATTCTTTTTCACTGTAAGATCTTCTTTGATGAACGGAATGAGATAACATTCATAACGCGTTATTAATATTCAACGTTGATGACGTCACACGGTGTATATCAAACACGCTATTATTATTTAGCAACGTACTAACTATTCATCAATAACGTATTTCGATTAAAAGTTTCGCGTTGCATTAAATATTACGTAAACAATACAAAACATGTTCCATATTCACTAATCCAATTCCAGTGGTATGCATTTATCGAAACGTATCCGGTGACAAAAACAGGAGGAAAGAAAGAATAACTTACTCGCACAGTTCTTCTTTTGCTAACAGCATACATTTTTTCCTAATGAGTCATCGTATATATCGTGTTTCTTGAAACAAGAATTTAGATATCTTTAACCTTAATTAAGATTTTAAATTCTAGCAGCATTGGGTCGTTGCATTTGAAATATTTTTACAAAGTATAATATAATATATAGGACCGATTTCAACGATGGATTCAGTACATCATTTTAAAATACCGATTCTCATTTCATCTTTGTATGAATTACTATTGGTATTCATATCAAGTAATAATTCAAGGATCTTAGAGAAAATTAAAATCGCGTTAAATTAAAATAATTCAATAGCTTTTTATGTTATCAAAATGAGAAGGCATTTTAATATTTTTTTTTACGTTAATATGACTCTCTTTTAAATGAAAGTTATTATGAGGTAACGGACTGTTCTTGTCACATCATATAAAAATATAGAATAATTTTGTGAATAATGTGAATCTCTTTTGATTTGTTATGACTCTATGAAATAAAAATTTGAAAAATCGTAAATATTTATGACAAATAAAAATATATATTTTGAAGGAAGGTAATATATTATCTTAATATTTCGTATTACTCTTTCGCAATTATTTTTCTATGTCAATCTTTCCCTATACTTTTGTACTTTCTGATTCTATTATTATTAATTAAATTATTTGGTTATTAATTTGACATAAACTAATTTAGTATAATATAAAAAGATTGGATTGCCTGTTTAGACACTTCTAGGGTGCACATTTCCACTTCGTTGCTCTTGCAACAAGGTCTTCGAATAAACACCGTAACTGGCTGGAATCATTGTGCCAAGATTGTGCTACTTGGTTGATATAATTTCTTACGTAAGCAATATACATATATTTGATAAAAAAATTTCTAATTATTGACAATTATAAAGTTTTAAATTATTTTCGATTATAGTTTTAATTACATATTTTTTCAACATCATAAAATTTTAATTTATTTTTAATAAACATTTTATTTTATGTAATGTATTATACATTTTTAATTTAAGTATATAGTCAAATGTATGAACGCTGTCTTCATAACCTGCCTAACATGATTATGTTTGTTGATTAATGATCGTATAAAAATTACCAAATTTGCACCGGGCACATATCCTGGTTCCATAAGTAAACAGAAACAAATACTTTGTTTAAGAATATAAACAATTCTTGAGAAACTCAGAAATTAAATATATGATAACATATGAACTGTGTGAGTATCGTAATGACATGCGCTGAAGTTATTTTCAAACTAAGCATGCTACTCTCTGAAATCGATAATCAAGACAAAAAGAGAAATCTAGTTATATCTCTCTATAAATTTTTATTTTGTTGTATTTTTCATTAGGTTTTTAATTTTCTTAAGATGATTCTTTATTAAATCGAGTTATCATAGAATGTTTACTTTTTTAATGAAGTTGAAGTATCGAAATTGACGTGGGCAAAATTCTACGGTAAGTTAATGATGAAATAAGAGAAAAAAAATGTTGAAAATGTAACTTTTCACGTATAACTTGTGACAGATATAAGGTTCGCAGACGCTTCTTTGAATAATTGCAACCAAATCTTACCATAGACTTTTCTCAAAAACGAAATTATAATAGTTTTAAAAAATTACGATTTTAATGGTCACAATAAAGTAATAGATAAACGGCCATTCTGGAAGGATATTTACATGCACAAACTTGCATATAAATTTAACCTCGAAAAGTAAACATAATCTCATCTTGTTTTCGTTTGATAAAGATGCAGTTTGATTTACTATATCGTATGTTCCATACTATTTCATTAAAATATAATTTTAATATTTTATCCAAATTATGCAGATATTTGTAATTTTGGGTGGGCCTTGGTAAGACATTTCAAATTTTCGGTACTTTACTAAAGAACCATCTTAAAATATATATCTTAAAATTTTTCACTTAATAGCTTTATTAAAATATCGTAAAAAAGATAAACGTGAGCAAGATAGTTCCAATTATTCCAATTATAGTATCAAAAATTAATCTTAAAAGAACTTTTTAAATTAATATATTTTTTTTAATTAACATTTTATTATATGCAATACAAATGTAATAAAAATTAGATATGATTACTGAAATAATAATACTTTTTAATATATTTTTTCCTTTGATATCTTATATAATGAAACTAGATTAAAATTATCAACATAAATTATTTCTTTAATTAAATTCACAATAAAGTCTTCATTAGAAAAAATCTAAATACACAATAAAAAACAGGAAACCAATTACAACTAATAAGAAGCACTAAATGCACTTCTATAACTCACTAATAATACAGCTATTCTCTTTTAATTATTTTGATAATTAAATTCACAATTATAAGAAATTCATAATTGTGCCAGGAAAATTAAAAATGTCCAAGAATCACCGAAATAATATCTGAATAGTGATGTGTTTTTGTCATGGAAAATCTTATATAAGAAGAAACGTGTAAATTACCTCGTCTGTCGGATTTAAGTACATTTCCGGATCCCGATAAGACATTTCAGAATCCCTTCTCGAATATCTTCGTATATCTAATGTTTCTTTCTTGCTGTAACACTTGCATATTCTGCTGAATAACGATCTGTTTTTTGTCTTCATGTTGTCAGCTCACCTTGACACCTCCTTTGACCTTGACCTTGTCCTTGACCCTGACCTCTCTCTTACGTTTTCCTAGTAAAATGATAATTTCGGGACTGGTCCTTCCACACGATTGCTGCGCGATTATTGACTGTTCAAGAACAATATCAAGAGACATCTGACCCTGAATAAACACTTGGCGAAATAATTTTATCCCACGCGTTATTGGCGCCATCTGAAGGTGTTCGTCTTCCGAAATATAATGCGCATGAGAATTGAAAATCAATGAATACGCCAGCCGAAATCATTATCCCTATCACCAAGATTTTAAGACTTTTCTGATTTTGTACGAAAAAAAGAAAAACAAAACGTAATATCGTATTAGAACTAGTAGAGGACAAAACAACAAGAGAATTAAAAAAGGGAAAGATGAGAAATGGGAGGTTCAATATCATGTTCCTGCCTGGCCGAAAGTTCTAAAAATAGATTTCTCGGAAAGCAGTGATTTCCCTAACACATTTTTATTACTGAAATTGATCTCGTCTGAAAAAGCAGAAGACGCCGAATAAATTACGTCGAATTTGATATTAGGTACAAACAATTTTGCACGAGGCTGTCTATATATCTAACAATTACTTATTGGAAAAATTTTACGGTTCTAGATATCTAACCTTAAATGTACCTACTCAGGAGGAAAATTCAAACGCCCCGCCATTTTGCTTTTTATAGGGTCATTCTACGTACGTCTACGAGCGGGCATTGTTTCGTCGTAATTTCCTGGCACGAAATTCAAATATTTCGCAAAATTTCGCATTATTATTTTAAGTATAAAATATACTTTTTCATTTAACATTCAAAATATTAGAGATATTAAAAGATTCTCGAGAGAAATGCTCCTATTTTCACGTTGATGGAAATACAGAACAATTTAGCAGTAGAAAAATTAGAAGTAGAACAGGTTGATTTCTTCAAACAACAAGAGGAAAAAAAACGAATGTATGCCACGCCACGTCACACAATGAAGACAAATTGTCCAATAAAACTAATAAATCATATTTTTGAACAGTCCTACGTAAACTGTTATATCTTTGAATTTGTCCCATAAACTGTCGTATCTTTATAACAATGAAATATGTATTTTTAAAAGTATTTTTTTTAGTATAACTCTGTTCAACGAGAGAATGACCTCAGTTTGCGCATAGCAGACAATGTAACACTGTACAACGCTATGAAGTATGCTGTACTGCGCAAAACAGACAAGTTTTCGTCCGATCCGAGGTCATTCTCTCGTTGAACGAAAATCCTTATAGGAAACCCTTGTTTAGCACTCTAAGATTTTTTCTCATATAGATAGCTATAAGAAAAATTGTGGATCGATTTCAAGAAAGAGAATTTGATCTGTCCGCATATTTCACAACTTGATTGTTCCTTTTTGGTCCTATCAACGATTTTTTATTGTGATACGTTCAATGATGAGCCGCTGTAACAGTCTATATGCAAGTAATAAAAATAAAAATGTTATGTAAAATATACTTGAGAATACGAAGATTAAAATCTATGATAATTCATGTCTGTAGTTGAGCATGATCTTATTATCGTCGGTCGAATTAGATAACGATATCGATTTTGAAGATCTCCTTTCCGCAGATTAACTTTTCGGAGTACGGCGGAAATTACAATATTATCACAAACTGCTTGAAAATAATCCTGCTTAGAAATACATAATCCTGTTTTGCATTACGAAATATCAGATATTCTCCCATGTTATAAATAATATCGAATTTACGTGCGTTTCGTCATACAAAACATCGAGAGTTATTCGAGTTCATTACACGGGGTATGTTAAGGACGAAAGAATAGTTTTGCACAAAAAAATTTGTGTACTTACGCAACGAAGGTCAAGGATGCCGCGAAAGGAGGGAGGGATCATCGACTCACCGATTGGTCAATGTGCTCCCATTTTTCCCCGACATAGTCCCAGACTTGTTCGGTCATTATTCGCGAAAAAAAAAGATGAAGAAACGGTAGAAACACGATAACGAGATACAATAAATATCGATGGAGGTCGTGATTAGTGGCAAGCAATCACGACACTCTCGGGATCACTGTGAGCTTACATCATTTGCGCCGATATTCGCGGCTGCAAATATAGCCAATCTTCAAATATGTATGTATCTCTTGTTCCTGTGTGTGACTCTGTATAGGAATACTTTGACTGCATGCGCGATTTTCGTGGAGTATTTTGGGCGAGTCAGTGTGTAGAGATAGAACCAAGTATCTTGCGTGACAGTGTTCACACTTACTCTATTCTAATTAGGTTGTTCGGAACTCCTCGCAACTGCTTCAAGGCGCGAGAACGACATGACGAAATGAATATTAATAGGAGATTAATGAATATTTACAAGAGATAAATCCACAGACACGGCTCATATAATTCTGGCGCCGCCTTTACCGGTCTGAATATCATGCGTTCTGATTCATACATTCCAAAACTCAAGTATGCGATAGGAACAAAGGTCTTGGTTCAAGAATGCAACAAATCGCTTCAGAGATAATCCAGAGATTCATGAATCTCCGAGGTCTAGTAGATGAAGAACGGAAGTTTACTTTAGCTTTTTAATATGCATTCATGAATATTCTGAATTAAATCTAATATCCAGGTCTAATTTTGCAAAGTTCGAAAATTAATGTTCTAAAAATTTGAGACCGATCTAAATCGAGCTGTCTTCGAATTTTAAAATGAATGTAAAATAAATATCATATGAATTAATTTTAAAATGAATATTTAAAGGATATACACATTTATGTATATTTTAAGGTGCGGTCGAGTTGCCGCGTCGAAGCATTTTTTGATTGGTCAATTAGTAAAATTCTTTCTTCTGATTGGTCAATCAAATGCTTCGAAGCATTCGTAATGGCAACTCGACCGAACCCTAAAGGTCCGTCTATAATGGACAGTCGCGGTAATGGATGAGGCTGTAAGAGTAAGAAATTAACCAATCACAGTCGATTATTCTTCTCACATTCAACTGTGATTGGTCAATTTGTTACTCTTACAGTCTCATCCACTACTGCTGCTATCATTGTAGACCACGCATAAGTCCGTAAGCAATAACAGAGTAGAACATAGGAAATGGATTTCAACCATTAGTCCGGATCTATAATAGATGATTTAAGCCGTAAGAAATTGACCAATTACAGTCTAGTACAAGGAGAATAATCGACTGTGATTCGTCCATTTCTTATGGCTTAAGGCTTAAAAATCTATTGTAGATCCGGACTTACAGACTTACATTACGTCCTATTATACTGAAAAATCAGCTTACTTCCGAATGTGTCTTACAGCCTTACCACTATTGCCCATTGTAGACGACACTTTAGTCCACAAACACAATAGAGTAGTAAGCCTTAAGCCCTAAAAAATTGATCAATCACAGTTGAATGTGAGAAGAATAATCGACTATGATTGGTTAATTCATTAAGACTTAAAGCTTACTATTCTATTGTGTTTGCGGACTTAATATTAGAAAGAATTGAATAATTGATACAAATAATATTTGTATTTTGAGAGCCAATCAAAAGCTGGTATTCATAGTCAATTCTTTAAGATTGTCTTAAATACAATTTTGAATACAATCTTGAGTACAAAGATATTATCGAACAATGACAAAGCCATATATATTAAGGGTGCCGTCACATGCGGCGTAACTGCGTAAGCGTAACCTGCATATTCTACTAATTTACTAGAATACGTTATTTTTTATTTACTAGAATACGCCATTCTGAGGGTGATGTCCCATGCAGCGGATCGTGCGTAAGCGGATTCGCGTATCGCCAATCACAGAATCATTCTCTTAGATATGCTTGCGAAATTTGCGAACATATCTAAGAGAATGATTCTGTGATTGGCGATACGCGAATCCGCTTACGCACGATCCGCTGCATGGGACATCAACCTGAGGGTGCGATTACATGAAGCGCGGAAACGCGGAAAAGCGGAAAAGCGGAAGACAAAATTATCTAGATTTTACTAAATTTCCGCGTTTCCGCGCGTTTTGTTTCGTCTGTTTTGATCTCCTAATATTACATGGAGCACAATTTTCGCGGAAAAGCGGAACGGGGTATTAGAAATTATTAATTTTTAACGATATTTATTGATTAAAATACTTGTATTCAGACCATTCTTAGGCTTATTCGACGCGTTTTTGCATGAAACGAAAGAATCTGGCAAAAAACGTTGTTCTGCCTTGTGATCTGAGATATTAAGCGTTAAAGTTGATGACTATTGAGGTTAGGAAATCTGTCACAGAGGAAAAATGTGGTCTATAATTGTACTATTCCACATGGGTTTCGACTTTTCACGCGATGCAAAGGGGCGCACGACTTCTATAATTGTGCTGTTGCAAAATCGAAACCCTTGTGCATTTTTTCAGACAGAATAAGCTAAAATGAGCCAGAAATTAGATTCGACGCATGGTGGTTCTATCATATTTCGGCGTAACAACAAAATAGCGTAAAAAGCATAAAGTGACTAGACAGAAACTGATGTTCAAGTGAAATGATATGATTGGTCGGCGCAAGTTACGCTTACGCAAGTTACGCCGCATGTGACGGCACCCTAACTTAAGACATTGTTTAAAGCCCGATCTACATAAGACGTAGACGCGAGTCGCAGATCGCAAGTTTGTTGCATTATACCTGACTTCGGTCTTAATCCTAAAATCCTAAAATTCAGCCAATGGAATACAGATTTCAGTTAGGACCAATTAAGACTGGCAGTCCTATTGACTAAATTTTAGGATATTAGAATTAAAACCGAAGCATAAACCAAACATTAGCTAATCCGATGCATCAATTTTAAGTGACGCTTCGAGATTGGTGACGCGACAAGCTTGCGACTTGCGGCTCGCGTTTTGCGTCTTCTACAGCTCGATCTACATAAAGCCGACTCTACATTAGTTACAAGCCGTTCGCAAGTTTGTTGTGACAGCCAATCTGAAGCTTGCATTTTGAAATCAACGCTTTACATTGGCTGTCGCAACAAACTTGCGATCGGCTTGTGTCTAATGTAGAATGGGCTTTATGTAGAATGGGCTTTAGTTGCAAGCTGATCGCAAGTTTGTTGCGATAGCCAATATGAAGCGTTGATTTCAAAATGCAAGCTTCAGATTGGCTGTCACAACAAACTTGCGATCGGCTTGCGTCTAATATAGAATAGGCTTAGCCTGGATCCTCATACGAGCAACAGCGCTTTGACACAGAGCGCTAATTGGTGAAAAGTCGGTTGTGGGGGGTAAAATTTACCTTCATCATCCATTTTTCACCAATCAGCATTCGGTGTCAAAGCGCTGTTGCCCGTATGAGGATCCGGGCTAAGACTCTTCATCAAATGACTTTGAGTTACTACATCGAAGTAATAACTCCGACTTAAAATAGCGTTTACACGGCATCTAACGTCAGTAGTTATAACATTGATGTTATAACTTCAGCGTAAATCGAGCCGTGTAAACGTAGTCATATACTACGTTTACACGACACACTTTAC